TATCCTGGTGAAGACTAGTCGTCTGCCGGGTAGTTAGACTGAGAGGGCTTGGTCAGCTTAAGAGATTCCAAGCTACTGTCGGATCTTCCGCAGTCTAATCAACAGTAAATCAACCCAGGGAAATACAATTAAAACCTAACTAAGGAGCTAGGGGGACTCATTCCCGAGTGACTCTTACCTGCCTAAGAAAACCGAATAATTTCCTGCTTTCCTTCTGCTTTTGCTTTTAAACAACAATCACTTACTTTAGTTGGCTAGATAACAGAGAATCACTGAGTAAGCAGTAGATCTAGACCCCAGGTTGATAATATAACTTGCCTGTTACTGCATTCCCGGTCTGCGACTTACGTTTAGTACCTGCAACTTACGTTTAGTACCTGCAACACTCAAATCCAGGTTTAGCAGCTTAATGGCCCAGAAGTCCTTGTGCTCTAGCTCTACTGGCAAATGACACGCCTTCCCATAGACCAGCCTATAGGGAGAAGTGCCAATCGGGTTTTTATAGGCCGTCCTATATGCCTAGAGAGCATCATCGAGCTTGGTGGACCAATCCTTGCGGGACTGATCCACCGTCTTTTCAATTATTCGTTTAAGATCCTAGTTCGTCAGCTCGGCTTGCCCATTTGACTGGGGGTGGTAAGCCACCGACACCTGATGCTTAACACCATAGCAAGAGAGGAGTTTAGTGAATTGCCCTTGAAAATGGGTTCCTCTATCACTAATGATGGCGCGTGGTGTCCCGAACCGCGAGAACGGCTGCTTCAGAAATGAGCAGACCCATCTTGCATCATTGGTGGGCATGGCTTGAGCTTCTGCCCACCTCGAGACGTAGTCCAATGCAGCCAGTATGTACAAATTGCCAAAAGATGGAGGGAATGGGCCCATGAAATCGATGCCCAAAACATCAAAAATTTCACAAATGACAGAAATATGTTGGGGCATCTCATCCCCGGAAGAAATGTTACCTGACCTTTGGCAGCGGTCGCACTATCGTGCGAAGGTGTCTGCATCCTTGAAGAGTGAGGGCCAATAGAAGCCCGACTGTAGCACCTTCCAGGCAGTGCGGTTTCCTCCATGGTGACCTCCAGTAGGCCCCTAGTGGCATTGAGACAGGATGTTCCCATCTCGTGCTCCATGACACAGCGCCGGATCACGCCATCTGCTCCGATCCTGAAGAGGTAAGGATCCTCCCAGAAGTAATGCTTCAGGTCGGAGAAGAACTTGCGCTTGGCATGAGTGGCTATCCCCTTTGGTAGCTGCTTGCCCACCAGATAATTGGCAAAGTCAGAATACCAAGGGACCACGCTGTCCACCAGTGTCATCGCTAGCAATCTCTCACCCGGGAAGGAATCATTGATCTCTTCCATGAAGTCCACCAAAGGGGCTTCCAACCGTGAAAGATGATCTGTAGCAACATTCTCGACTCCCTTATTGTCCCGGATTTCTATATCGAATTCCTGCAGAAGCAGGATCCAACGGATGAGTCTAGGCTTTGCATCAGCCTTGCTCATTAGGTAGCAAATCACCGAGTGGTCAGTGTAAACCACCACATGGGAGAGCACCAGAAAGGGTCGGAACTTATCAAATGCATACACCACGGCGAGGAGCTCCTTCTCAGTGGTGGTGTAGTTCTCCTGTGGATCGTTCAAGGTCTTTGACGCGTAGTAGATGGGCTAGAAGTGCTTCTCGCGTCTCTAACCCATAATTGCTCTGACTGCATAGTCACTCGCATCACACATCAACTAAAAAGGAAGAGACCAGTCAGGAGTCACCATGATAGGTGCATGGGTAAGCTTCTCCTTCAGAGTCTCGAATGCAGTTGTGCACTCAGGAGTGAACTGGAATGGTGCATCCTTCTCCAGCAGCTTGTTCAGAGGGAGGGAAATCTTCGAGAAATCTTTAATGAAGCGCCGGTAGAAGCCTGCATGACCCAGAAAGCTGCGAATCCCCTTCACAGAAATGGGAGGAGGTAGCTTACTGATCGTCTCAATCTTCACGCGATCCACCTCAATCCCCTGCTTGGAGATCTTGTGCCCGAGCACAATCCCTTCACGGACCATAAAATGGCACTTCTCCCAGCTGAGTGCCAGATTAGTCTCCTCGCACCTCTTCAGAACGAGTTCCAGGTTATGGAGACACTGAGTGAAGGAGTCTCCATAAACCGAGAAGTCATCCATGAAGACTTCTATGATCTCTCCGACCAGTCGGTCGAAGATCGCCATCATGCATATCTGGAAGGTCGTCGGTGCATTACACAGCCCGAATGGAATCCTCTGGTAAGCAAAAGTACCGAATGGGCAGGTGAATGTGGTCTTCGCCTGATCCTCTAGTGCGATAGGAATATGGAAATAACCAGACATGCCATCCAGGAAGCAATAAAACTCATGGCCATCCAACCTCTCCAGCATCTGATCAATGAAAGGTGGGGGGAAATGGTCTTTCCTGGTGGAATCATTCAGGCGCTGGTAATCGATGCAGACTCTCCAGCCGGTCACGGTCTGCATCGGCATCAACTCTTTCTTCTCATTCGGGACCATAGTCATCCGCCTTTCTTCGGAACCACCTAAGTGGGGCTAACCCCCTTGCTATCAAATATAGCAAAGACGATGCCTGCATCCATGAGCTTCACAATCTCTGCCCGGACCACTGCCTCCAAGTTAGGAGACAATCTCCGTTGTGGCTGCCTGACTGGCTTAACCTCATCCTCCATCAGAATTCCGTGGGAGCAGAAGGATGGGCTAATGCCTCTGATGTCTGATCTTCCATGCCATGGCCCGGGCATACTTCTGCAGCAGAGCCACCGGCCTGCTCTTCTGCTCGGGTGTCAGATCCGAGCTGATAATGACCGAGAGCTTATTCCCATCCCAGAGAAATGCATACTCCAGGTGAGAGGGGAGGGGCTTAAGCTCCAGCTCTGGTGGCTCCTCCAATGATGTAGCGATCCGGGGCGAGATAGGAATCGACTTGAATGGTATCTCTCGCCCCTCGATCGCAGCCTCGTCTAACTCCGCGAGCTGCACATCCTGTGATGCCTGTTCCCCTAGCAAAAGACAACGCTCAAGGAAATCGTCAGTACCCGCACTCGTGATGGCGAGTGCGGTCTCAAAATCAGCAACAACATCACAGTAGTCTAGATCATCATGGAGCTGGGGGCGTTTCATATTATCAGAAACAGAGAAGGTGATTTGTTCACCCCCAGCTCGCAAAATCAATTTCCCATCATTCACATCAATGAGCGCCTTAGCGGTGGTGAGAAAAGGTTTACCCAATATTAATGGCACATCCACATCCTCATTTATATCCAAAATCAAAAAATCAACAGGATATGAGAATGGCCCTATTGCGACTATCAAGTCCTCTACAATGCCCCTAGGATGCACAATGGATCTATCAGCAAGTTGAATGCTCATCCTAGTATCACTAGGTTCACCTAGGCCTAGCTTTTTAAACAGTTTATATGGCATGACATTTATGCTAGCGCCTAAATCCTCCAAGGACTCCCTGGGTCTTTTCGCTTCTTTGGTAGTTTGTTCTGCAGGATGGCAGAACACTCCTCGTTGAGCATCACCGTTGACAGCTCTCCAAGCTTCCTCTTGTTGGTGAGGAGATCCTTTATGAACTAGGCATACTTGGGCATCTTCGATAATGCCTCCACGAAGGGCATGCTTATGTTTACCTGCTTTAGCATTGCCATGAACTTGGCAAACTCAGTCTCCAGTCGGTCTTTGTGCAACCGAGTAGGAAAGGGAAGCTGGGGTACATACTCCTCACCACTGGTTGCGGTTTAGGAGCAGGCACCTCAACCTCCTTCTTCATTTCCTCTTCATTAGCTGGAAGTGCTGAAGCAGGGGTCTCTCTCTCTCTCTCTTGTGCCCGAACAGGTGGATTAGCAGTCACCTTGACACTCCTGGTAGTAATGGCCTTGTAGTGCTCATTTGGGTTCTGCGGATGAGGGATGGTCTGACCGGGTGAGTACCAGGAGGCCTCTGTGAATTTGCTTGAAGCTTTCTCCATAAACTGCTCGATGTTATTGAACTTGGTTGCACTAGAGGTGGCAAGAGAACCTACCAGATCTCGCAGTTCCGCCATCGGGTCACTCTGTGCTGGGGCTACAGGTGCTGCCCCTGTCTAATGAAAAGACCGCACCTGTGTCTGAGGTGGAACTGGCCCCTGTCTGGGCCGGTAGAGAGGCTGTTGTGGCTGCTGTAATTGCCCTTGTCTGGGCTGGCAAGGAAGCTTATGGAAGCCAGGTGGTCCCTGGGGGACTGGTGGTCTAGAATTTGCCCCACCCCAGGAGAAGTTGGGATGCTGGCGCCACCCCTCGTTGTAAGTGTTGCTGTAGGGGTCGAAGCGCCTGACCTTGCCGATGAAGTCCAACTACTCCTGGGGAGTAGAAGACTCCATCATCGCCTGACAATCCTCCACGGTGTGATGAGAACTCTCACACCACTTGCAGAGCATCGCCTGTTGCTGTCTTGTACCTGCAATCATCCTGGAACGATCGATGGCTGAAACCATCTTCGATACCACCTGCACCAAATCAGATGACTGGGTGGCTACAGCATGCACACCTCGCCCTGGTGCTCGTCTCGATCTCCTTGCAGTTCCCCAGTCATAGCCCTGCTCTGCCATCTCTTCAAAAAATTGATTCAGCTGTGGCGATGTTTTGGTGAGCATATTCCCGCCACAGACCGAGTCAATCAACTGCTTGTCTTCCGAGAAGAGGGCATGGTAAAAGGTGCCCACCTTAAAGGCATCGGTAAAACCATGGTTGGGATACTTGAGGAAGAGACTGGTGTGTCTCTCACAAGCATCCCTGATGGTCTCATCTTCATCCTGAGCAAAGTGGGTAATTTGCTTCTGCAGGTCCGCCATCTTGGACGGGGGATGGTAGCGAGTGAGGAACTTGTCCGCCAGATTGGCGAACGTGGTGATCGAGCCTGGAGGTTGAGTGTCTAGCCACTCCTTGGCCTACCCCTCCAGAGTAAATGGGAAGTACCTCAGCTGGATGGCATCGGCTGGGACCCATTTATCTTGATTCCATCGATGAGCTCGTGGAATCGCCTTAGATGTGATCGGGGGCACTCCCCTTCTTTGCCACGGAACACCACCGAACCGCGCAGCATGGTGATGACAGAGGTGCTCACCTCAAAGTTATTTGCTGGCACATGAGGGTGCTGAATTGGCGACCTCATGTTCGCGGCTCTGGCGGTCCAGTAGTATCCCATGGTATGCTCCTCGGGAAGGACCACATCATGGTCCTGTGGATCACCCATCTCTTCTTCGTCGGCGATTTGCAGCTGTGCTAGCGCCTCCTCCGCAGCCAGTCGCGTCCTTAGAGCCCGCTTGAAGTTCCTACAGGTCCGTTCAAGCTCCTGGTCTAATGGTAGTAAATCTCCCGACTGGCTACGGGTCATGCACTACCTGCACACAATCAGAAACGCAACCCGTGAAGGCACACAGGTGGAAGAGAGAAAATGCAGTAAAGAAAAGGCTAGAGTAACAAACTTTCACGTTTCTCCAATAACCTAGAAGGTCCCCAGCAACGGCGCCAAAAACTTGACACGCTACGACACAACACCAAACTGCGACCAAGTGTAATTGCAGTCTGGGAATGCAGTACAGTGGCAAGTTCTAAATATCAACCCGGGGTCTAGATCTACCGCCTACTCCGTGAATATCTATTATCTAGCCAACTAAGTCGATTGATTGTGGTTTTAACTAAAAGCAGTAAGAAAGCAGGAATTGGTTCAGTTTTCTAAAGCAAAGGAAGAGTCACTCGGGAATGAGTCTCCCTAGCTCCTTAGTTAGGTCTCAGTTGTAATTACCCTGGGTTGATTAACTGTTGATTAAACTGTGGAAGATCCGACAGTAGCTTGGAATCTCTTGAGCTGACCAAGCCTTCTCAGTCCTACTACCCGGCAAACGACTAGTCTTCACCGGGATATAAAGCTGAGGCAAAAAGCACAGAACTCCACTACTGGAATTGGGTCCCAGTACAAAGCAGTAGATTGATTAACTCTCGTATAACCAATCTACCACTACCGAATGATGAAGCTCTAACAACCTAATCAGATTCTATCTATCTCAGGTTGCAGCAGAAATCAAGAAAAGATTATCAGACTTCAATTGATTCAATGAATCATGCATCATTCGATTAAAACCAAACAATATAACAATCTCAAGTCATTACAATCAAGATCCCTAACACATGGAACTAGGGTTCTTCATACCCAAGTGAATGAGGGTTCTTGACACGTCCCGTCTCTTTTTAAAAACCAAACCATAACTCAAACCAAAAACCGGTTACTCCGGAGCAACCCAAACCACATTTTAAAATAACCAAACCGACATCATTTAAGAATTTTTAACGAAATGCCCCAACACTTTGGCAAAATTCTCAATCTTAAACACTTAAAACGACTTAACAACGAATCTTTGAACCTTGAATCTCCAGTTCATAAACTCATAATCATGAACAAAATAATCAAGCTAAATCTAGCTCTAACTCCTTGTTGTTTTCCTTGAGGTCTCGTCCATGCTGGTGCGGCAGCTTGCCTCGCCCTCCCTCTTCTCGAGATCCGCCTCTGCTAACCCCTCCTTAACCTGGTGAGTGAGAAGGGTTCAGTCTCGTTGTTACTTCCTAAGGTCTTTGCCCTAGGCAAACTCCTTACTAAACACGTTATTAGGGGAAATGCCTTCCTAGCATGAAAGTCGTTCTCGCTTTCTGCTCTTAAATAATCATTCTTATCGACCTCTATCCTTATCCCAACACAAAACATTAGGAGCACCGCTTTACGTCTCGCCGTCCGGTGTCCTACCCTAGTATGTCAACCGCGTTACATCTCGCCGTCCGGTTGCATACGCAAACTCGGCAATGGCACTGCGTTACGTCTCGCCGTCCAGTCCATAAACGTCAACTACTGCGTTACGTCTCGCCGTCCATTAGTGACCCAACCGCCCAGGGGTTCCTCATACCATCAACCATACAAACATCACATACATGCATATACATAGCACAACTCGTGCCTCCACCCTTACAGGCGGTGGGATGCCTCACACACACATCGCGCATACTAGAAAAATTAACTAAATAATAACTTGAACGATATCATAAACTAAAAGACCTACGACAGAGATTTTACCTCCTTAGCCGGATTATCTTGGGGCAACCTATTAATAAGAATCCATTTTCTTAGACGACCTTTCTTGATTTAAAACCCCTTTTGAACAACTAGAACATCCTCTCCTCAAATTCCAGTCCTTGAACCTCATTCCAAGGGTCCTTTCACCCCACTAAAATTTTGTAGAATTAATCCTTTCAAAAACGACCATTTTTCTTAATTATTTTAGTCTTGGACAAATTTTCCACCTAACTGGAACCTTCTTAAAAATTCGGATAATAATTTTACCAAGTCAATCATGAGCCCCTATACCCTGGAAAATTATCAAACCCTTAAAAAACCCACGGAAAGATTTTTATTTAATTAAAACAATTATTCGAACAGTTTCTAAAAATAGAAATACATCTTCAAAAATCCCCAAATTAAATTATAAAATTGCTAAATTCAGAAAACAACCTTCAGAGAGGCTCGAAACAAATAAAACATTCAAAAATACATTTCTGGAAATTTCCAGCAGCTTTAGTGACCACCCAAGATCTGTCACTAAAAGCCTGTAAAGTCTGTTGCAAAAACCCAGAATTGCACCCTCACGAAAAATCACCAAATCGATCGATCTAACTCAAAGGGATCGAGTTTCCTTACCTCTAAAACGGGCCTAGGCCTAGGTTGGATGACCCGGGACGTTGATCTCCTTGTTGATCAAACCCTCAACGTCACCGCTAGTAAAATACGAGCGTCGGATTAGACTATCGATAAATCGAGTTTAGAAATCGCGAAGGGGTTCGTGATCCTTACCTAGAACGAAAGGGATGGGGTCGGGAACAGGGAGGCGCCGGGCTCCTTCTTTTTTTTTCCCTCGCCCGCGATGGGAAGCAGGGCAGCGTTTAATTCCTTGGGGCAAATAATTGAAGAATGGCGGCGGGGGTGGAAATTGCTGCTGCTCTTTGCGTTGAGGAAATATGGTCGGAGGTGGGGAATATTTGGTTTGCTGGGGAGTGGGCAGGGGTTTATGGGCAGCTTGATAAACCGTTAATTGCACATGTTTTTACCCCTACTTTGGAGCCGTTTGAGGTGTTGATTCTCGTGTTTTAGGCCGATTTCACGCTAGGTTGTGCTTGTTTGTGATATTTCAGGTCCTAGTACGTGAATGAAGGTTTGGGAGCGAGTTCGGGGTCAATTGGACGAAGATCGGACGTGTGGCGAGTCGCTGAGGAAGTCATACGGGCACACACAAAACCCACACGGCCGTGCAAGTAATCAATGTGGCCGTGTGGGATTGTGCGAGCCTTCACACGGGCAGGAATAAATCCCACACGGCCGTGTCATGAACCAAAGTGGCCGTGTGGAATTCTGCGAGGCTTCACACGGGCAGACTGGAGGCTCCACACGGCCGTGTGCCCCTGGCCGTGTAGGAAGCCTGAACCCCACATAATCGGAACGCGGCGTTTTGTGTCTCACACGGGCAACTGGGTATGACACACGGCCGTGTGGCCTGCCCGTGTGAGTCGGGATTTTCTTGTTTTAAGCCAATTTCCAGCCACATGCGAGGGGGATTCGAGTTTTAGAGAGACAGAGCGATTCCTAGAGAGAGAAAGCGACGAACAAGAGTTCCCAAGTGCCCTAGCTTGATCTTCATCACCATTGGAGCTTGGCTTGAGCCTGGAGTAGTGCCGATCGAAGCCCAGGAGCAGAAACCCATCCTTCACAGTATGGTTTCTGCATCTGAGTCTGCTTTTGCTTCTTTCTCCATGGAGTAGTTCTCCCATTCATCTGGTATGGGAAACCCTAGATTTGTATGAACCCAAGTACAGATTCTATGATTTGATTATATTCAATTGAGGTTTGAATGATTGGATGGCATGAATCCTGATCAAATTCATGTTGTTTCTGCTTTAACCTAGAATGAGAATATCTGCCTAGGTTGATAGAGCACCCTTAATTGAAGGTGGCGAATTGTTGACTTTAGTCGAGGAGCCAATTCGCTATTCTGTACCGAATTCAATTCGGTAGTGGAGGTTTTGTTCGTTAGGGCCTCAATCTGTTTATTCCGGTGGAGGTTAGTCGCCAGCTAGAGACTCAGATTGAGAGGGCCTGGAGACCTTTAGTCGAGACTTCAGACTGTTTAAGAACCTTCCGCAGTATAACTAGCATAGAAATTGAACTTGGTAAATTGCAATCCGGCTTAACTACAGTCTAGGGGGAACCATATCCGGGTGACCTCTCTCGACTTTAAAACAACCGTTTACTTGCTTTGTTTGTTTGTTAATTTGGACCTGCACTAAAGTTTCATTGCTAGATAACAAGAATTCACCGAGTAGTCATGACATCTAGGACCCGGGTTGCATTAAAACCCAAACCCGCTATGCTACGCTTTAGGAAGTGGTTTCACTTGGCCATTTTCTAGAGTGACAGTAGGAGTGAGTCAGGTTTTTGGCGCCGTTGCCGGGGACGGCTAGGTTGTTGAAGAAAAGTGATTTCTGTTAATTTAGCTTTTCTTTTCGCATTGTTTGCTTTGTCCCACTTGTGCCTTCACGGGTTTGCTTGCTTGAGTGTGTGCAGGTAGTGCATGACCCATAGCCAGTTGGGAGGTTTACTGCCGTTGAATCCAGAGATTGAACGCACCTGTCGCCAACTCAGGAGACAACAACGAGCTGGACTGGCTATGGAGGAGCGCATAGACGGCCATTTGAGCAGTGAGTCCGAGAACGAGTACGAGATGGAAGGAGATTACAATCCACACCAGGGGAATCCTCACCAGGCTCCCCCGGTGAATCAGGTCTTGGGGAACAACCTCATACCCCAGGCAGATGGGGTTCATCATCATCCACCGCCGCCGGGTCCCACCTTGGAGTACTACTACACTCCACGGATTGCTGACATCCGCCCGGTCATCCTCTACCCACCTATTCAAGCGAACAACTTCCAGATCAAGCCATGCTGGATTCAACTCATTACATCCTCTATCCAGTTCCATGGCTTGAAGGATGACAAGTTCATGCACAGGTACTACCCAGCATCGAAGACCATAGAGATCCAGCGGGAGATCACTCACTTCCGCCAAGAGCCAGATGACTCACTTCGTGATGCATGGGAGCAGTACATGGGATATTTCTGGCATTGTCCCCATCATGGCTTCAGTGATGCATTCATAGTGGGGAACTTTTACAGTGCTCTCTCCCCGGACAGCCAGAGGGTGATTGAGTCTCTATGCCCAGGAGGGGATATTCTCACTAAGACTCCACCCGAGTTGAACCAGATGATCAGTACCTTGGCTGCCAGAGATCACTCCTGGG